ATGAAAAGAAGGACTAGGGGAGACATGATAGCAGTGTTCCAATATCTCAGGAGCTGCCACAAAGAAGAGGGAGTCAAGCTATTCTCCAAAGCACCCGAGTGGGACAAGAAGCAGTGGGTAAAGACTAATCAAGAAGGAAAGCAACTTAGAACTGAGGAGAAATTTCCTGACAGTTAGAACAATTAATCAGTGGGAAGTTGTGAATATTCCAACACTGGAAATTTTTGAGAAGATATTGGAGAACCATTTGTCTGGAGTGGTGGTGGTTTTCCTGCCTAAGTAGTGTGTTGAACTAGAAGACCTCCAAGATTCCTTCCAGCTTATTCTATTTTAAGTGCTTCTTGGCTATCCTTAATAGTCATAAAGGTTCATTCTGGAAGAATTCCATCAAGTATCTGGGCCTACTTCATCAACTTGTTTTTCAGAAAGGAGTCAACTTAAATGCAGTTTGTCTGAATCTACTTTCTCTCAGAAGAACAAAAGAAGAAAGTAGTTTGTGTCCCATAGCAACACATAACAATCCGGTAGTAGCCACCAAAATACTCAAATCTTAATTTCTTGTCATGACAGAGATAAAGAAAATATGGAGATCACTAGACAGATTTTGACTCAATTTCAATTTGCGTAATAATCTGTCAGTCAACAACTTCTACAGTATTCCATAGTTACTGAAATTGTTGACCTTAGTCAACAATTTAATATAGTTTTTTCATTCTTTCCAAAATTAAAATATGGAATACTTTACAGATACTTTGCATGTGATAATAATACAACAATATACATAAGGCCAGATCTTACAACAATTACAGTTATTGCAGAAATTGTAATTTCATAAATGTACTCTGGACACCACTGAAAACAGTTGTTTTCATGTTTAGAATTAAATCTACAAATTAATTCAGTCTGTAATGGGCAGAAATATGCAAAGCAGTTGAATGTTTGTCTTGTCTAAACTATCCATTTTTATGTTTTAACTTCTTACATATTAGTTAATTTGAACAAAATTTGATCATATTCTTTAAATTTTGATGACAAGGAAAAACCTGGGTTTCCTTCAGTGCACCAATGCTTAGAAACTCCAAGAAACCTTTGTAAGCATTTCTATAGATAAAGTATAAAATTGTAAAAGAAAAAGCAGAATTAAGAGACACAAAATAAAACCAGCTACGAATAACAACTAAAAGTTAAAACTATATTTATTATTATTGAAGATCCAGGCAAGTAAAAAAAACAAAAACAGAACAGCAAATAATAGATTTTGGGGTATTAATTATAGTTTTAGCCAATCAGAAAAAAGGTGTTTCCTGTAACTATTGGTTGCTATAGCATTTAAGAGATTTCGGTCTATATTTTAATCTATTAATATCCTATTAAGGATAGTGAGTTGGTAAGTTTGTTTTTATTAATATAATAATTAAATTGGTATGCACAATTTCTCAAGAATAAAAACATACAGCTTCTGTCTGTCATTCAATCAAGGACCTTGCTTTGAGAAATTGGTTCTAGTAACAAATAGCAAGGAATGTTGGTTCTATTGGATTAATTATTATATGGAAAGAGTAAGTATTTAATAATAATAGTAAATAATAGTAATTCCTCTAAAAAAATTGTATTTAATGATTTCTAAAACTTTAAATTTTATTTGTTTACTATGGTTATGATGATTATGACATCCATTCAGTTGTATCATTCAGTTTTACCATTTATTATGGTAAAACACAATGAACTGAGGTAGATTCTCCCTTTAATCTTTTAATAGGAAAAGGCAGGGGAGCGAAAAAAAGGAAAATATCCGGTTCTGAAAATGAAGGTGAATATAACCCTGGAAGAAAATCACCCAAGTCAATTCCGAGCAAGGTAATTTAACAAACTTCTAGATACATTTAGAGGTTATTAATAGCAATAGCAATTAGACTTATATACTGCTTTACAGCCCTCTCTATGCAGTTTACAGAGTCAATCTATCGCCCCCAACAATCTGGGTCATTTTACCCATTCGGAAGGTTGGAAGGCTGAGTCAATCTTCAGCCTGGTGAGATTTGAACTGCCAAATTGCAGGCAGCCGGCAGGCAGCAGAAATAGCCTGTAGTTCTGCAACCAGTGTGCCTCTTAATGATGAAAGCATTGTAAATATTCATGCGTTAGCTTGCATAAATTGTCTTTTTAATTGCATCTTAACAGCTTTAAATGGCTACATAACTGACATCACCAGTAACTTTTAATAATTATTTTAAAACAGAAAGTGAAGAAAACAGCCTTCGATCAGGATTCTGATGTAGACATTTTACCATCTGACTTTGCTTCTGAAACAACTTCCAGGCCACGGACAGGTCGCGCAAGAAAAGAAGTGAAGTATTTTGCAGAGTCTGATGAAGATGATGATTTTCCTATGTTTTAATTAAGTGCTGAAAGAGCACACAAACTTCCAACAAATATCTTATGTTGTCCTTTTCTGTCGCAGACTTTTTGTACATTTGACTTATTTTATGTGATGTAATTGATGGTTTTTATTATTGTGTGTAGGCATTTTAACATTTTGTTCTTACACTTACAGTTTTATGCTCTTTTTTACTCATTGAAATGTCATGTGTCTGACCGGCTTGTAGAAATGTTCTAGAGAGCTGTGCAAAAAGCACACATTTTAATTGTCATGGTTGCAAACGGCAACTTTTTGAAATGAAGTTTAAACATTAAAAATATAAAACCATTTACTTGTGTACAGAGCTTTCTCTAAATAAATTTTGTTTATACAGGGTCAAAATAAATATATTTTATTTTTTGCCAAGATAATTCATGGAAAAAAGTAAACAGCATATGAACATAGAAAGCATTGTTAAACAATCTCAATGTACAAACAGAGCCAGTGAAAGTACATCACAGATTTGCTAGAATATATAAAAAAATCCACTAGTGCTTTTAATGAAACCTAAAAAAAAACCTGACACTTTAAAAAAGTGTAACAATTCTACCACATTTTCACTGTTTTATGGTGATTAGCAAGGTCATTGAGACAGATTCCATCATCTGTTTCAAGGTGTCCCAGTGCCAGTCCTGTGATGCCACAGAAAGAATGATAGGACTGAGGAACACTTTCTCCAGAGTGGTTTTTTTCCCACTAGTGCCACCGATTCAGAGGTAGTGATTATGCCTGGTTATTATTTCACCAAGTTACCTAATAGCTTGTGAAAAAGTAAAATAACACTGTAAAGTGTTTTTGCCTTTAAGGCTATAAATGAAGTAAAATTTCAGTATTTTTAAAAGTAGAGAAATCAATAAAGTAAGAAACCCTTTGTATATATTTAAAGTGACATTAACAATAGAACAAATTATGTTCAAATAACTGAGCTGGCAGTTACACTCCCACAAAAGTTACTTCTGCTAATGCAGTGAAATTCTTTGATCTTTTGCTGGGAAATAAGTAATACACTGAGGTCTTTAAAAAGAGCAATGATAAGTTTTCATCCTAACTAAGACTGTCTTTTAAAATGTTCTTATCCAGACAAGTATGTTATCCATTTCTAAGGGATGTCTTGGGCATTTCATGTACACATTTAAAAAGGGAAAGCATCAAACATCCAGGATAAAAAGTACATATTCATATATTTTATATGTACAAAGTCATCAGAAATGGTATAACCACGACTTTTAAACCTCTTTGAGATCAATCTTGTCACTTGCAATTTTGGATATTCAAAAGAAGTAATAGCAACATATCAGTTTGTTTATTTCATGAAATCAGAGATTCAGAGCATAGTCCTACAAATGTAGAGAAGAAATGGAACTTACTCTGTGTGTGTCAGCGCGCACGCGCACACACACATACCTTCACACAATATAGATACATATGAACAATTATTGGTCCTTTTGGGTTGTAGTGTCTGTAAAAGTCCAGAAAACAAGCAGCCGTAGAGAGAATATGCTATGTCATCCTTGTGCATCAAGAGTTAGGAATTTCATTAGAGAAAATGTCTTACTGCACCAAAGGAGACTGAGTGACGCTGTTATTATCTACCAAGCTTGGGGAAATACTTGGACTGTGCTCTGCTGTGGTCACTGTTGAGCTTGGTGTCAATGGTTCATGTCCTTCTGAGTTCTCCAACATTTCCTGGATAAGAGGTGGCATAGATCCAGGGATCTCCATTTTCAGTGTAATAACACGTTCAGCACCTTGTGAATTGTTCAGCAAAGGAAAAAAGAAATGTTTAGTATGTTGGAATTTTTTGCAGTCATACTTCACTTTTCTCAGAGGATAAGAAATTTATGTACTATTAATACTAATACATAGAATAATCCACTTATTAAATGGATTATTGCAAGAAACCATGTCTATGTTTGAGTAAGAGCAGTAGGAAAACTATTTAGGTGTTTGATTAGAGTGTTTCCTATATATTCAGAGCTGGTAACTAGGAAAAAGAATCAATTAACAATTATAAGGTAGAGATTTTATAAACAGAAAAATGACCAAAATTTAGAGAATGGATTATAAGGCCATCTTGCTTCTTTGGATATCTGTAAAACTAAAAAGTACTATTTAGATGTATTGTTTGGATGGCCACATAAACAAGCTGCACCTGGATTCTTATGTGCAAAGTCTTAAAATTATTGTTAAGGAGCAAGAAATCAAAAGTTTATTCAAAATATGATAAAATCATAGCTGTGAATTTTTATTTAACTGAGTGCCATATTTGAGAAACTATTAAACCATATGATAAAAAGCTTTAAAAAAAGCTAAACAATTATAGAGAAATCGTATAATGTGAAAGAGGAATATTTCCAAGATGAAATAACATGTTTCAAAACATGGAGTCTTGAAAATCAGGGTTTAGGGAAAATGTCTATGTAGCAGTTCTTTGGAATTTTTAAAACTTTTTCATTAGTAATTTAAAAAAAATCATGCAGTCATTCAGAACATTCAATTTTATTTTGTTTTATTTCTATTTGATAAACTGCAACAATTCATTTAAACTAGCAGAAAAGTACTTCTGTTGAATTCAATTAATCTTTAGTTAATATAGTCAACCTTTAGGAACCCTTTTGGATTACTCGTTTTCTGAACAATGTTCAGAATAAACAGGCCTACCAACAAAATTGATCATCTTAGCAAAAATATGGCAAAAAACTTTTGTTTACATACCAGTTTATACTAAAAGATATGATTATTAAAATGTTGAATTCAACTGCCTAAATTTCAAGGAAAGTCAAATATACCCACTTATGGTCATATGTTTCAATTGAAAGGCGTAAGTCATGAAAAAAAACATGTTCTGGTTAAGATGTGACAATTAACATTTGCACCTTATCTCTTAAAAAAAGGGGGTACAGCTTTGACTAAGCAGGCATAGTTGCCATTTTTATTTTTTGAGCTTCCATATGAACACTTCAGAAGAAGTGATTTTTTTACCCCGGAAATAATGGTATTCCTCAGCCAGTATAGTAGATTTAGCAATATCTATTACTGACTAACTTATCTTTATATCTCTGGTAGCTCATCATATCAGAAGTCTGAATCTGCTCTGTCCATTAACCAATTTTTTCCAGCCCTCCCAACAACTCTGAAAGAAGTTGGTAATTCATTTTCCTACTTAACTCTTTTCGTCTTACCATTTAAAAAAAAAAACTCTTCTGATCATGCAATCAGAATGAGTGGCATTACAATCATAGCTAGGTAGGCAGGCTTTAAAAAGATCTTGACAAACTTGAACAATGGACCTTATCCAACAAAATGAATTTTAATGTGAGGAAAAGCAAAGTTTTACATTTAGACAGGAAAAATCAAAGTTGTAAATACAGATTAGGTGAGACTGGCTCAAAAACAGTAACTGTGAGAGGGACCTTGGAGTCTTATTGGATGATCTCTTGAATATGAGCCAGCAGTGTGCAGTAGCAGCCCAAAAGGTTAATACAATCCTGGGTTATACAAATAAACATAGAATCAAGATCACTTGAAGTATTAAGTATCACTTTATAAAACCTAGTAAGACCATATCTAGAATACTGCAACCAATTTTAATCACCATACTACAAAAAAAGGTATTGAGACTTTGGAAAAAGTTCAGAGAACAGCAACTAAGATGATCAAAAGCCCGGAGACTAAACGGCTGCAAGATTTGGGTTTGGCTAATCTAAAGAAAAGAAGATTAGCAGCAACATGATAGCAGTATTCTAGTATTTGAGGGACTGCCACAAAGAAGAGAGGGTCAAATTATTCTACAAAGCACTAGAGGGCAGGACACGAAACAATGATTGGAAACTAACCAAAGAGATAAGAAATCTGGAATTAAGGAGAAACTTCCTAACAGTGAGGACAATTAATCAGTTTGCCTTCAGAAATTGAGGGGGCTCCATCCCTTGAGGTGTTTAAGAAGAGACTGGGCAGTCACTTGTCTGATATTGTATAGGTCCTCCTGCTTAAGCAGGAGGCTGGACTAAAAGACCTCCAGGTACCCTTCCAGTCTATTCTATTCTGTTCCTGGACACAGGAGACTGCAGTGCGTTGCAGCTGCCAAAAGCCAAAGCAGTCCTAGGTTACATTAATAGAGTCAAGATCACATGAAGTGTCAATACCACACTATAATGCCTTGATAAGACTACGCTTCAAATACTGTATCCAGTTTTAGTCACCATGATGTAAAAAAGATGTTAACACTCTAGAAAGAGTACACAGAAGAATAACAAAGATGATTAGGTGATTGGAGGTTAAAACATATAAAGAATGGTTGATGGCATTAGATATGTCTAGTTTAATGAAAAGAAGGACTAAGATGGCCTGATAGCAGTTCTCTTTACCTGGCTTTTTACATTTAATCCTAAATGTTACTACTTAACTTAAAAAAATGATTCTGCAATGATAACTTTTTGTTATTGATGAGCTCATCATGATTATGTAAATCTGAAATTTACATAACTCAAGTTCAGGATCAAGATTTTGTTTTCATTAAGGAAACTGAATGGATGCAAACATAACAAGGATATCTAAGGGATTGTCATAAAGAAGGAGGAGTCAATCTATTCTTCAAAGCACCTGAAGGCAGGACAAGAAGCAATGAATGGAAACTAATCAAGGAGAGAAGAACTAAGAAAAAATTTCCTGATAGAATAATCAGTGGAACAACTTCTCTCTGATAGTTGTGGATGCTGGAAGTTTTAAAGAAGAGATTGGACAAACATTTGTCTGAAAAGGTATCCAACTGTGGCAACCTATGGGCCTCATGCATCATGCCCTGGCCACACCCACCCCAGCTCCATGAAGGGAAAAAACATCACAATATATCACGTGATGCAATGTGATGCAGCGAGTTTGACACCCATGATATAGGATTTCTTGCCTGAATAGGAAAGACATAGATCCCATCCAACTGTTATTCTGTAAAAGGTATTAATGCCTTTCTTAAAATGTACTTCTGTAACTCTTTTAGCATTAACCAGCTGGGTCAACAATTGCAATTGTCAACAATCTCCTGTTGACAATCATCTTCCTTAAAAAGTTATCAAATTTACCTTTTGCACTGATACTGCGCAGATCTGTAATTTTCATTAAGATTTTTGGAAACATATGAGGTTTGCTGGGTCTTCTTTTTCGGATGTATATTTTGAGAGCTTCTAGTAATGGCTCCTGTAGTTCATCTATTTTTGTTGGTTCTTCGAGATCCTGGCGGTCTGAGAAAGTATAATTGTTAAATGTCTGTACTCAAACATCAAACCGTTATAAACACATGCTATGAAGGCTTCCTATTTTCCTTTGTTATTACTTTCCTTTGTGCTGGAGATTTTTAAAAAAAAATCAATTCCTACTTGTCATCCCTGTGGTAACATTCTTTGCACAACTTGTTTTTTTCTAACTGATGAGATTGCAACTGATGAACTATTTTATTTCCTCTTTTCCAGCTGTAGACCATTGAACTGCCAAAAGTAAATATTTATATAAATTCCAACATGAAGTATCCATAAAATTTTAATTTGTAAAACAGTAACATAAAACAACAACATAAATTTCAAAGATTAGTGTAATGTATATTCTTTCTTTTATATTTTTATTTCTTTTGTATCCCTGATCCCAGAGCAATATTGCCTTTGTGTGCCAGTAGGTGTCAGCAAAAGATTAAAGGAAAGCTAGATCTATTGCTTTCCTCCATTCATACTAAACACTGAAAATTGTTACTAATGCTTCCTTCTGAATGTATCTATCACAAGATTTTGTCTGAAGGAATATATGAAGAAATATTTAGATTTTGGCTGTGCTTCCTCCAATTTTTTCCAACATCCAAACATTTTTAACTATCATAGCACTCCAATTTTGATTAGAGTTACTTTATTTCAAGGCATTTCAGTATCACCTTCTTTCTTTCTAATCCCTTTACACAGAATTCTCTGTTTCACAGTTACCATATCATGACTTCTCTTCTTCAGCTACCACCAGATTTCATCTCTTGAGTTTAGAACATTAAGAAGCCAAAACAAATAGAAAAACATGACAGATAGCTGATTACTTGAGGGACTACCTATCTCCCCACTGTATCTGGCCAAGCAAATCAATTCAGGTTCCTTCAATTAAGCAGTGCTACGTATCCGAACTCTGGGAGAATGCCTTCTCTTGATGTATTTACCCCTGCAGAACTGAACAGTCCCCATCCTACTAATGTTTCAAGAGACCAGAACACCTGGCACTTATCCAAGCCTTTGGTGGGGATGATTGAAGCTCCTTTTTAACTTAGGTAGGTTTCCTTTATTAACCCAGTTGATTATTCTACCACCAGTACCCATTTTTGTTTCTTATTTTTACTGTCACGTTTTAAATATGTGCCAAACTGCGAAGTCTCTGAGAATTGGGCAGCATATAAATTGAATATATATTAGCAATAAGGCTTTCTCAATATCTGATCGTAATTCGTAATTTAATGAGGTTATATGCCGCCCAAACCCGAAGGACTCCAAGCAGCTTACAAATACGAGATAAAATAAAATAACAAATAGGGGATAGAAACGAAAACAATTTAAAAAACACAACATACATTCGGTTTAGCTGGGGGTTGGACCTGATTTATAGATCAACAGCCCCAGGCCTGCCAGAACAGCCAGGTTTTGGTGGCTTTTTGGAAGGCCGCAAGAGTGGGAAGGGTCCGGATCTCGGCGGTCAGATCATTCCACAGAGCCAGAGCAGCTACAGAAAAGGCTCTCCCCCGAGTGGTCGCCAGCCGGCATTGTCCGGTCGACGGCACCTGGAGGAGGCGTAGCCTGTGAGTTCTTATCGGCCGTTGGGAGGTATGCAGCAGGAGGCAGTCTCTCAGATATCCAGGTCCAAAGCCATGTAGGGCTTTAAAGGTAATCACCACCACCTTGTAGCGCGTCCGGAGATCAATAGGGAGCCAGTGCAGCTCGCGGAGGATAGGTGTAACATGGGTGTACCGAGGTACACCCGATATCACTTGCGCGGCTGCATTCTGGACCAACTGCAGTCTCCGAACACTCTTCAAGGGCAGCCCCATGTAGAGTGCATTGCAGTAATCGAGCCTTGAGGTGATGAGGGCGTCAGTGACCATTCGAAGTGCCTCCCGGTCCAGACAGGGCCGCAACTGGTGCACCAGACGAACCTGGGCAAAAGCCCCCCTGGTCACCGCCAACAAATGGTGTTCTAATGTCAACTGCGGATCCAGGAGGACACCCAAGTTTCGGGCCCTCTCTGAGGGGTGTAGGCTAATAGATGGAGAATCTGGACTATCCTTGGGAGGAAACATCAATAGCCACTTGGTCTTGTCTGGATTGAGTGACAGCTTGTTCACACCCATCCAGACCCTAACAGCCTCCAGGCACTGGGACATCACTTCCACTGCTTCGCTGGCACGGGGCAGACAGATACAGTTGAGTATCGTCCGCATATTGGTGGTGTTTAATCCCGTGCCAGCGAATGATCTCACCCAGCGGCTTCATGTAGATGTTAAATAGGAGGGGGAACAGGACCGAGCACTGCGGCACCCTGTATTTGAGGGGCCTAGGGGTCAACCTGTCCTCCAACCAACACCAACTGCGACCTGTCTGAGAGGTAAGAGGAGAACCACCATAAGATGGTGCCTCACACTCCCACCTCCCCCAGTTGTCGCAGAAGGATACCATGGTCGATGGTATTGAAGGCCGCTGAGAGATCAAGAAGCACCAGGATAGAGGAATATCCTCTATCCCTGGCCCCCAGAGATCATCGGTCAGCGCGACCAAAGCAGATTCGGTGGAGTAACCAGGCCCGACTGGAAGGGATCAAGATAATCTGCTTCATCCAAGGACCGTCGGAGTTGAAAGGCCACCACCTTCTCAACAACCTTCCCAGCAAAGGGGAGGTTGGAGACTGGACGATAGTTTTTAAAGATAGCTGGATTCAGAGAAGGTTTCTTAAGGAGGGGTCTCACCACCTCATCCTTTAAGGGCTGCGGGAAAGATCCCTCCTGTAAAGAGGTATTAATAATTCTCTGGAACCAGCCTCGTATAACCTCCCTGCTGGCTGAAACCAGCCAGGAGGGACACGGGTCCAGTAAGCAGGTGGAGGCACTTACCGCTCCCATGGCCTTGTCCACTTCCTCAGTAAGGCAGGAAATATCCTGCAATAGCTAGCGAACTTCCTCCTGCTTCCATGTTAACCTCATCAAAAATTAAAATCCTGTTGGCAAAATCTGGAGCAATGATAGCTTAATCAACCTATTCCACAATTAAGCTGATGTCTTTCAAACACACCTCCACAAATTAAGCAGATGGCACTAAGTAGGCCAGTTTCAGTGTCATCCATTTCCAACGGCAGAAGCTGATTGGCAAATGTGAACACAAGATCTGTCAGGGGACCAAATCCAGCATTATGCATCTGAGTTCGGTTTAGCGTAAGGCCATCAGAAAAGGTCATTGTGTCTTGTTCAGGGGTGTATCTTGTGCAAATGCGAAGGATCTGGGAAGGAAGGAGGGAAAGGAAGAAAGAAAAATTATGTCAATTCAGGAAGGTTAAAAATGATGGGTTTTGCAAATAATCGTTATAGTTATTGCCTCCATCAATGGGTTTGACTAAACCAAAATCTCTCTACAATTTTGGAACCACCACTTAAATAAATCCAACAGTGTACATCTTATGCCATCAAATACTAAATGTTAACTCAAAGGTTAAGACTCAAGTATTGTGTTCCCTCAGAAATACTTATTTGAAATAAAATAATTTAGGTGTTTTAGGCCAAATGCTCATTTTTTCCCTCTAACTTTTCTATATAACAATTGTTTTCATATGTATCACATATGTCTTAATAAGAGGTAAAAATTTCTGTCTGCCATTATTGCAATTTTTCTTTCAAGTGAAGAAAGGGAAGGCGATGTATTATACTACAATGGAGCACCCCTGTCCATTCAGGGTTGAAATTGATCAAGGTTTGTTCTCTCTGTTGGTTTGTTAAATGTTTTTGCCACCAATCTTGCAGCAACTGTGGATGGTTTACAAACATCAAAATAAAACCATAAATACATATAAAATCATATAAAATCCAATAAAGTTGTAATAAAAATACAGGTAAAATAATATTATTAAGCAGAAAACAAAACACTGCAATGAGTTTAATTTATAGCAAAGTGTATCCTGATTGAATGTTTGAGGTATTCAAGTGGAAACTAGTCAGTCTTTCTGTTGTGTTCTGTTCCGGATTCCTTACAGGAGAAGTCTCAAAACTCAGCAACTTTAAGAATACCCAGAATTCCCCAGCCAGTTGAAGTCCACAAGTCTTAAAGTTGCCTTACAGAACAGGATTTGGAGTTGAAGATCCAGATTACTCATTCTAATTTTGAACACTAAGAATCTTGCTAAAATTTATATGAAAAATCACACTGATGCTGGAATTTGACAGCTTGAAATCTTAGTCCTCTCAGAATAACAGAACAGAATAACAGGGCTGTTATTGGAGGTCTTCTGGTCAAACCCTTGCTCAAGCAGAAAACCCTATAATGGTTTTATAGGACAAATGGTTGTCCAATCTCTTCTTAAAAACCTCCAACGTTGGAACATCCACAAGTCACTAAAGTCATTTCACTAATTAACTATCTAACTATCAGGAAATTTCTCCTCAGTTCTAGTTTGCTTATTGTCAGAGATTTTACAGTATCCTTCCCCAGGAGTAGGGTGGAAATGGAGATTTTACAGTATCCTTCTCCCAGGAGTGGGGAGGGAATGGGAATTTTGCAGTATTGTTCCTCTGCCATATCCACCAAGCCACACCACACCCATTAAGCTATGGCCATAGAATCAGTAGCAAATATTTTTGAATCCCACCACTGGTACGGGTGGGTCAAGAGAGTGTGGGGCTGCGGTGTGCTGTCCCCCATGCCCCAGGCAGCTTCAGAGAGGCCTTCTTGGTCCAAAACATGGAACAGGGGTGTGTGGCATCCCCCCCCCACAGCCCGTTTCTTGTCCCAGGATGCTTCAGGGAGGCCTGCTAGACCAAAATGGGGCACAGGGAGAATGTCCATGCACTGGGAGGGGTGTGTGTGGCAGGGGGTCACATGTTCATCGTATTATGGGTATGGGCATGCACACTTTCGACACTCGACAGCAAAAGGGTTAGCTATCATTGTGCTATAGTATACATTGTCAGCTGTGACACTTCTATAGAGAGGTGTATGCCTTTCGAAATCATATCCATTCAATTTAATTTTACCACAGGTAGACTCCATTCAAAATGTAGAGGCATGTCAGCAACAATCAAGAGAAATGGGAGGCACTAAAGCTAAATTTCAAGTGTCATTGCAAAGGTCTGAATACTTATGCCAATGTGGCATTTCAGTTTTTTCTTTTTAATAAATTTACAGACATTTCTAAAATTCTGTTTTCACTTCGTCATTATGGAGTACTGAATGTAGATTAATGAGAAAAAAATGAATTTCAACAACTGTAGAATAAAGCTGCCACACAACAAAATTGACAAAAGTGAAGTCTGAATACTTTCTGAATGCACTTTATCTGTAATTAAGAATAATCTTTCATCTTTAGAGAAAGTCCTGCAAGAAAGAATTATACCATAATTAATCCTATAATGCAAAAGTGGACAATTTGAACCCCTAGTTTGAAACAGGACATAGTTTCATTTCATGTGGGTTTTTTTTTGCCTGATAGCAATCAATTCAGACTTCTCAGCAAGCAGAAGAGAGATAGGTCAGGGGAAGAGAAAACAAGCATAGAAAAAAAAAAGAAAAAGGAGTGATCGGAAGAGCATAAAGCAGGGGTGTCAAACTCTCATCGTCAAGGCGTCATCACATGATGTATTGGGACTTTTTTCCCCTTCACTAAACTGGGCAGTGGTGGGTCCAAGTTTGACACCCCTGGCGTAAAGCGATATTCAAAAAAGTAAGAATGCCGCACCTACCTAGCTACTTCTACTTTTGGCCTCACCCAAACAGTGAGAACATAAAGGATCACACGATGATCAGATATACACGAGAGAAATGTCTCCATTCCTCCAGAGAATAAAGTTGTCCAAAATGCTAAAGATGACACATATCTATATGAGATATATTACCATCTGTGCCAAAAGCTTGGTCCAATCCTGTCTGGGATCCAGAAAGGTTCTTGAAGCAAGGGAAGATTATAGAAGATTATATCTGGCTGCTGATAAATTTTCCAGGAAAATAGCAAGAAGCCTCTTAAGAGTGAAGAGTTGGAGAGAAGCTAAGCTAAGAAAATTCCCTCTTATCTTTATTTAAAAGAGCCATACCAGTAGTAATATAGTAACCATTTATTAAGCTACTTTGCCTCTCAACTGCAGTTCAACTTCCTTCTCAGAATTCTTCATCAGGTATGCTTGAAACTATGCCAGATTTTATAATTCATGGCATTACTTCACTGTTATGTTACAGCAGCATTAACTATGGCAGGCAAGTAATTGACAATAGATGTGTCTGTCTTGAAGAAAGAGCATACACAATAAAAAGAAGACTAACAAATGTGAAAGCCTAGGCAAAAAAGGACTCTTCTACATGCATCTTTGAGGTGCACGCTAATCTCCTCTTGCCTCTTTTCTTCTCATCATCTTGTAGTAGTGGTAGTAGAACTTGCAAGAAAAGGAAAAGAAGCTACAGTACTTACCATATTTCCCTTCCTAGGATTTTGTTACAAATTTTCAACCAAACTTTATAGGTTTCTATAAATAATATTAATTATTTTAGTGGGCAATGTTCCTATACAAACCAAACTTCAAATCTACTTAACAAGAAGCAATTAGGGGAATTAGTTCTGTATTACTACTTTACCCTAAAACAAAGATAGGGAATGTATGGTCCTTCAATTGTTGCTGTTCTGGCTGTACTGGCTAGAGCTAATGATATTAAGAGCCTGCAGAGCACAGACTCTCCATTCTGTCCTTAAAAATGATTAATCACATGCACATGAACTCTCACAACTTTTACTAGGGATCACAAATTTATAAGATAGGAGCAGTGTCCCTGAACTTTAAAAAAGGAAACATTTTGGATCTTAGTGCTACAAATTCTGAACAGAAAAACTACATTCTTCAGTTCCGCAATACATCTCTTTCTGATCCTTTTGTTTACCTCTAATCATGGGAGAAGAAAGGCATTCAGTTTCAATTTCCAATTGCTTAAAATTGACAGTCTCTCTCCTTAGAACTTGTTTGGATAGATACAGGGGAATTGGGAATTGGCTAGTTACAGCTCTTTTGAGCACCTTTTGTTTCCTAGAGCAAGGTATGAGAAATACCATTAACTGCAAGAACTTATTTTAGTGTGAAGCAGGTTCCCTGCCTCAAATGAGTATTCTCTCTCCCCCCTCCCCTCCCTCTCTCTCTTCATACACACTTATTCTCACATACACACAGCAATGCTGTAACATGAATCAAAGTGACAGCCTTCTTTGTTCCCAAGAATGCCTCTGCTTCATTTAAAAGTGTGCTTGCCTGACTATGCTGGAGTGAATGGGGATGAATATGAAGAAGCTAGAGAAAACAGTAGAAATATTATTGCTAGCTTGTTTGCTATATAAAAATGCAAACATTTCCATGGCACATGCCCATCCCCAAAGATTATTGTGCCTGTTATCTTTCTATTACCAGTATTCATCAGCAAGACTCCTCCTGAATACACTGATTTGGAAGCAAAAGTGAACAGAATACTGTAAAGAGACAAGTTACATACCAAAATGTCCAAGCAAGCAGCCTTAAGTAGTGTGATCTGGTCTGCAATTGTCAAACTTGTGAAACCAGGCAATCGTTTTGCAAATTCCACTATTTTAATAATGCACTTTGTTGCAAGTTCACTGAATTTGTCCCAAAGCCCAAGGTCCAGACGAACTCTATGGTCCGCACTAGAGTTCTAAAAAGAACAAAATGAATCAATTGCTGTGACAAAATGTAGTTGAATCAAAGACCCTCTAAAAGAAACGTATCTTAACAATTTCAATATCAGTGAGATTTGCGGTTGAAATCCTTTTGTTTTTTAATCTTGTTTAGTCTTTCCTTACATACTTTTCTTGTGCTTACGATTAAAGGCTATATCTGTCCAATGGGTAAAATAAATGAGAGCATTTCTAAAGGTTGCAGATCTTCCTTTCCCATTTGGTACACAGTGTCTACACTAAAACCCCATCCTTCACTGTCAGAACCAAGGAATTAATTATGTGTAACCAGAAGAATGGTTTCCATGTGTGGGAAAAAGAGCTTCATTTTGCAGAGTACACTTTCCATGCAACGTGACCTCTTTTAACATGCTTATAGGTTCAGCAAATTAGTAGTTCAAGTTAGCCTTTTTTCTCTATGGCTCAAAAAGCTTTTACATCTCTGAAAAAAAAAATTTATTATGAACAAAAGAAGAACCATTTATTAGACAGAAGAAAACAATTAGGAATTCCTTTTCTTTTCTCCTTGCCAAATATGGCATTTGATAATAATCTCTTCTACCTTGGGTTCAACGTTCTTCATCTACAAAGAGTTGTCCACTGAGAAAATATATGCTAGATCTTTACATAGTACTATGCATATGTTGGTGCAATTTGTACCAGTTGAATGTAATCAAAGATGCATAACCACTGGAGAGGGAGAGTATAGTAGAAGACACATCTCCCCAAGCCGTTGAGACTAGAACGAAAGCCAAATCTGATTTATACACATTAATTGTAATGAAAATTAAATCAAGTAATCATAGTTACTAGAGTTATTCTCCAATGTATCTTTCCATTTGATTAGATTAAAGTATACAATTTGACAATAAGCTCTGAGAAGGCTCTAGCAGTCACCTGCAAAGCTATATAAACTATATTGCCCTGGAGCTCAGTCTGCATTATAAATGTTGAAAAATTGGGTAATATGCAATTTATGCAAAATTTGGTAATATGCAATAAGCAGCATCTTATGAAGAGTATTACAGTTTTGTGTTCTATCTAGATATTGTCTGCACCTGCAAAATAAAAAATGGAATAGCTTCTAAATTTGACTAAAGTTACTTAAAAGAAAAACATATTCTTTCCAAAATGAATTATTATGGAAATGAACCTGAGTAGGGAGGAACAGATACAACCAAACTGTTAGAACAGGAAGTACAATATCACTGAACTATATTCTCAGGGGTTCAAGACAGCAGGGAAGGATGTCGGGATTGATGTTCCCACATCTGCTCCTAAAGTACTGAGGTCAAGTAACTACTCCTAAAATGCAGCAAGATATTCCTTTCTATCATTTCCAGTTCCAAATAGACCAATGGTCCACAACCTTTGTGGCCCAAGGGACCAGTTTCATGGAAGACAACTTTTCCACAGACTTGGGCTGTGGAGGAGATGGTTTTGTCACTTGGCTGCCACTCACCTTCAGCTGTGCAGCCAAGTTTGTATGTGGCTCAGGGATTATGGACTTTTGATATAGAGCATTCAATGTAGTGAAAGATTAGGAATGTCACAACGGCCTCTTAGAGACAGGACATGATTGGCACAGGAGTGCGCCAATTACAAATATATGAAGAATAAAAATAGTGATCAGGTTGAGGTTTGAAAGACTTGGAAAAGATACAAATACAACTAATGATGAACCGCAGGCTGCGATGCAAGAATTATTTTAAAACACACGGAAATTTTCTATATTTGTTCTGTTTTACATTCTGGTTATATATAAATTCTTTTTCTGTGTGTTTATTTTTCTATATTCCTTATGCTGATCTTTTGATCATAACAATAAACTACCTGCATTGCATTACACTAAGGTAAATTAAGATGAGTGTCCATGTCTGAGCTCTCTTTTTTCCTCAATTTGTCATATGCAGGAAACATAGATGACATTTATCCAGAAGGTAAAATAAAATAGTACTAAACACTTCCATACTTCACATCTACAGTTTCCTACATATATTGTGCAGAGAATTAAATTCCAATGTTGGATCTTATCCAGCAGATTATATTCTAGAGCTGCAACATGAGACACCGGGATGGGGGGCTTTAATGGGTTTTGTTTTGATGACTTCATACATTCCTTTTAAGGATTCTGCATCCTATAAGTATAAAGATTTACTTTATATCCTCAAGGACTTTGATGAAATTCTGCACATGGGGGATTGGGAGGATGGGAGAGATAAAATCAAGATGTGTTGGGATGTAATTAAATACAATAGCCAGTTTATATCCATTTTCCTAGAAAAATGGCAATGTAGACATGAACACAGCACAGCCTAGAGCTTGAAATTTATTCCACAGTAGGGCATCCATCTGGAAAGAGATTGTTGCATGAAACCAGTAAGTATGAATGAAATTTTCAGCAGGATCTTCCCAGCTCTCTTTATCATGCTTCCCTACCATCCATGCAAGAAAGTTAAATGCATCTGTGTCTCATGCAATGACTAACAGCTCTAAAAAAGCATAAATCTAATTTGACTATTATGCAAACTGAAGAGGAAAGGCTATGAATAAAGAACAAAGTTACTTTGTTGCTTTACTGCCTTGCTAAGTCAAGAGAGACTCCAACTGAAAATGGCTAGATGTGCCATAACTATGGGAACTTTAGCCAGAAAGCATTTGTGGCTTTCATTTGGTAATGGGCATTTAAAAGTACCTCTATAAATATAGTTTTAGCAATTTCCCTCCATACCGAATGATAAAATCAAGTCAGCAATGACATGCCAGCTAAGTAATAAGACAGGACTAAAGCTGGAAAGCACTTTAGTCCTGTTTTTATCAGTAAAAATGCACAAGCCTGTTGTACTGCCATTTGATATTTAATTTTTTTATTTAAAAGTTTTCATTTAAGCGGTGTCATTGGGTGTTTTTGTCACTATTTGCTACACCTCTTACTAAAAAGAGAAAGACATAGAGATTACAGAAAATAAAACAACACAAAGAAAAAAAAGGATCTTTATTTTCAGATTTTTAAAACATTGCCTTTATTACTTTATATGTTACTCAAAGCAATAAACATACATAAAGTCCTTCCCCCTATTTATTTTTTATTTTTTTTGCACAACAACCTTATGAGGTAAGTTGATCTGAGAAAGTGAGTGGTCCAAAATCACCCAGCCAGCTTTAATGACTAAGATAGGACTAGATTTCAGTTTCCTAGTTTCTAGTTTGGTGCATTAACCATTAGACCAAACTGCCTTTTTTTTTTACTGATTTCCACTTGCCCAACGAAACAAACTGAAATTTAGATTAAGAGGAGATGCAAATTTTTGAATCTGTAAGCCCAGCCTGAGCAGCCTTTTTAAATTGACTAATGATTTGCTGGGAATAGCATGATCAGTAGGACTGAAACAAGACGTAAGTAGGTTCAAAGCCAAAAGACAGTATACCCATGCTTCGAGAACTCTCTGTCCTACATGGTATTGGACCTGGGTACTTGAGAGACCGCCTCCTGCCAATCACCTCCCTACGACCAATTAGATCCCACAGATTAGGCCTCCTCCGAANGCTGCAGCTGGGCTAGGGAGGCTGAGATTTCCCAGAATGGATGTGGTTTTATGCAGCACTTCTAAGATGGCTAAAGGTGCTGCAACTATGTGATGCGTTGCTGGGCCTTCCTGGGATGCTGAGGCTTTGCACATGCCATTAGGACAACTAGAGCTTCCAGAATTGCTATGACTTCACACTTGAGTTACAGCTCCAGAGTTTGCAGCCCCAGAGTTGCAGTGTGCCAAAAAAGCTCCTGAGCTGCAGAGTGGCAAGCAGTCTGAGAATCACATGATTCTGGGACTGCTTGCCATCCCAGAATACAAGGTATAGGGCAGTCAAAAAGACAGAAATAGAGGAGGAGATAAGCAGGTGGCAGGAATTGAAGTCTTAGTTTTGGGAGGGGGAGACTAAAGTAGCATGTTTTGAGGAGGATCATCAGCTAACCACTCATAGCAGGGGTGAAATTCAGCAGGTTTTGACAGGTTCTGGAGAGCAAGTAGCAGAAATTTTGAGTAGTTCGGAAAATTGGCAAATACCATCTCTGGCTGGCCCCAGAATGGGGTGGGAATGGAGATTTTAGAGTATCTTTCCCCTGCCATGCCCACCAAGTCACGTCCACAGAACCGGTAGTAAAAAAATCGAATTTTACCACAGACAAATAGGATTCAGGAAGCCCCAGCAGTGCATCACATAAAACCTTGTATGGCCAATAGCTGTCTCACAAAAGGAGTGCTTGATCAGCAGTCAGAGGAAGAATCTGGGAAAAGGGAGTTAAGGCAGCAGGGGCTGTATAGTGGAAGGTCCAAATCTATAGTCATTAAGAAAAGGAGAGGGAAGAAGTTTTTGTAGATTTCACTAGAACTATTGGGAATGTTGAAAGTTCTTCCAAAAAATACTCCATATGTTTTTGCAGGTAAAATTTGTAATTAATTAGTCTTTAATGAAGTTCATTGTGACTGGAAAGAACATTTAAGGCATATAGTTAGGTTCATGCTTTATAAGACCTTCAATGTGCATAAATTTAATACAAATTTTCCTTCTCTCCGCACACTGTTAGGTCAATGCTATTACTCGGCACACTTAGGCAGACACTGACAAGACAAGCTTGTCTGGGCTAGAAACTCTGATTGCTTTCAAATAAGAATATACTGTTTTCATTAGGCACACTGCTGGCAACCCAGCATTTTGAGATGGCGGATACTGAAGAAAAATGTAATGGCATGCTCCATTCTTTATATATAATTAAAATCAAAACAGCTACAAGTCACAGATCCAGAACACAGCACCAATACTTCTAAGAGTATTTAGTTTACAAACTCAAAAGCATTTTGGGTTTACCATTATTATAGGAAGATACAGGCAGCTGAACACTTATGTTAATATTCTTTTCATAAGCAGAGTAATCAGAATTTACAGATTAATAGAGTTGGTTCTTCAAATATACCTAACA